TCATAAGCACTCATGAACGTTGCAGCAAACATTTGCTTATGTCTAATACTCATCTAGACAATCCACACACCAATTCACGACAGTCTTCATTCATATCTACTTCCAACATATGAACGATAATGGCCCGTTTGAATAATTCGATTATTCTTAATAAACTCAATTATTCTGGAAGTCAAAACATGCAAAGTGAAACACAAGAATAATACTAATCCCATATGGCCTCAAACCTTTGAGTATAAACAAAACACGTTTTATTTATCACCATATCGATTACTCATTATTTGTCGTTTCGGGTAATCAACTTCTTACTTGAATTCCAACACTTGTCCCATGCTCCTAGCATGCACACAATGTTTACCTATGGTTCTTACTTTTGTGAAATAGACAAATTGAACACGTTTCCAATCATTCTCATTTTACAACTCCAAATCCATTTTCTTAAGTGTAAGAATATCAAATTCTTGTTACTTATAGAATATACTAGATTCTAACACTTTATGCAACGATCCTTTCGTAATGTCACTGCACCAAGGTCACAAAGACTATTGCCAGTGACATTACAAAGTCCTCTATCGGAGATTGTTACAAGACAATTCCTTAGATATGATGTCTCTCACTCAAAGTACATTCCTTTGAACATCCTTTTGCATAAAGGTTTCTAATCTAGACATAGATTTTCAATATTTGCTTCCCAATATGGACACGCTTCCATATTTTCCATATGACAACTAATTTCTTAATAGAATCTTATCTATTCGTAATGATGTCGATATTGCCCATCCAATATGGAAACATTTCCATAATTTCCAATACTATACTTCCAACTACTCACAAGCGACCAATCCTCGTCAAACTTTGGATTGTCCTTTGATAGTTGTTTAATTATTTTAGTCAAAACGGATTCTAGTCCCTTTTCCCTCTAAATGCGCTAGACATTTGGAAAATTTTAGAATGGTAAGACATTAAATCATTTGCAATCGATCCTATACTCGAAGCGTATGGGACATGACGCACAATGTTTTATTTGCTATGTTCTCAAAATTCGAATTGTGAAGAGGAATGCCGTAATCACAATCGAAATTTTAAGAACACACTATGTACCTTTGACTAAATTTATTAACATTTCACAACCTAATCCTTTAGATTTGAAATGAAGCATAATATTCTCTCCCTTAATTATAGCAAAACAACTATACAACCCTTACGACTTTGCAAGGTATAACTCTTGTTTTTCTATAATTAATATTGCCAACTATGCAATACTTGCCTTAATAATCATACAATCATAACATTTATGCTCCCACTATCATGATGATTATTATAAAACATAACACTTATGCTCCCACTAGCTTCGACATGTATTCATAAACATCTTAACTTTCAGAAAAACAATACTTATTGAATTTCTTAAGTTCATGTTTCTAATACTTAGTGCTTTGATAATCTTTTATCAAGGCTTCTTGAACTTATACACTTTTGCCTTAGATAGTTCATATGTGTGTCTTAACAATTATGACTAATTGCCAAACCTCACAATTCAAATTATGGAAAGGGATGCCGTAACCATGATCGAATTCGAGAATGCAATTTTACAATCACTATCTTTTAAAATCTTTCTTAGTGAAAGCATTTTCTCACAATCATTTTCATGAAGGAGGAAATCTTATGACACTTAGATTTAAATGGTGTATGTGTTCCTATCCATGTGAATTTGTTAAAACCAAAGTTTACGACAAATTCAAACTCATATGGATCGAACTTTCTTAATCTTGATTTCTTGCCTTATGGTAGCACAGCTGCCCACCACGTCTTCCAAGTAGTTAAGCAGCTCACGCTTTCCTATCAATTACTTTCCATTGATCAAGGTCCTTGCCTTTTATGCATTCAAATGAGAACTCATAGGACTCATATGCATAATTAACTTGATTGGATTGGCACAGAAACAAAATAATGTCTTCACGATAGGTTGTAAACCTCAACTCGTGTGCTAGTGATGATCGATAAGGTTTATTTGATTTGTTCTTGAAACTTTTCGAGACCATTAAGACTCTCACTGACTCCTTGACATATAAGATTCTTTTGTCAATAAACATTTCTTGACAAACAAATTTTTTCAAGAGTTAGTGTAGCTTGTAATCAAAACAAAACACTTCATAATTTTGGTCTTAGTTGGTCTTTGTCTTATCCAAGACATCACAACTTTCCACAATTGATGAATGTTATAAACCTTCTTAATACTATTCACTCAATGTCACAATCTTGACTTTAAGACTTGTTTTGGAACGAAGTATGATTGACTTCTTGATTTGACCATTTCTTCAATCTTTGATTCCTCTTCTTGGACATACAATTGTACCAAGACTCATTAGAGGATCAATTGAGATATGGTTCTTAATCATTAAGACCTATCATAAAGCATAAAGGCTACTCTCCCTTCTTCTTAGAATGGAGAAACTCTTATCTTTTTGCCTACTTGATTCTTCTTATTCGTTTTGCTATTGATCTAAACCCTTTAATCAATTTAGAATTACACTTAATCTTGTAAGTATAATCATATTTACTAAGCCTTTTAGTAAATCATGACGAATATCTTTGTTATTCTTATGGTGAACTTGATCAACACACAACTTTGTGTACTCGATCTCCTAGTCCTTCACTTGACACATTGCCAACGAATTTGTCTAATTTCCAAATATGAAATTTCTCATTCATCATGCAACCAAGTTGCGTGATTCCAAATTTCTATCCAATTGAAACTTTGGGCGATGAGAAACTCTCCCTATTTGGTAAATTCTTGACACTTCCATAATAACACTACTAAGAATCATATCCATTCGTTGTAGAAATATTCGAACATCAATTTTTCATAACGATTTCATTGCAAGGAAGTAAATAAATAAATAAATAGTCAAATTTTATTTTATTTATAAAAGCAGCGGAAAAACTTGTCCTTACAATGCAAAATCCATTGAAAACTATGTACAAAAGAAAATTTCTAACAACTCTATCATAACTATCTAAGCTCAAAATCCAATCTCCAAGTCCATGAAATCGAGATACATCTCTTGTGATTAGATTCATCTTGCTCTCTTATCAAGCTTCCTTTCTTTTCACCGATCCTTCAAAACATTCAAATGCAATCTTATCACATCATGTATTAAGAATCAATGAATAGGAACTTAATGGAGTTAGATAGTGGATTCTTACCTAGAGCGTAGTCATACTTTTGACTCTCCCATCTCTTAGATCTCTTAGGTAAATAGGGCAACTTCGTTCCCAATGCCCCTTCTCTTGGCAATAAAAGCAAACTGACTCCTTTGGAACAACACATGGAACTATCTCAGACATCGCCTTTCTCTTATGATCAAACTTTTCGATCATTGCATGTCTTTCATTGCCATCGTCTATATCCATAGAGGTCTTGAAGGCAGATTCACCAATCAACTTTGCTTTTCTATTGCGCCAAACCATTGCTGATTCAGCAGCAATAAGCATATAGGTGAGATCCATAAGGGTCACGTCGCGGTCATCATATAGTACTCTCTTACGAACTCACTATATGAGTTAGGAAGTGACTAAAGAAGCCAATCAACAGCCATCGCTTCACCGACAACGATCCATCATTCTTAACCTATCAATGTGTGACTTCATCCCTAAGACGTGTGCACACACGGACTTGTCCTCTTTATGTTTACTTGCCAAAAGGGCTTGAGTGATATTGAACTTTTTCAATTTTACAATCTTGTGGGTTAGGGAGAATAATTGGAGGAGGAGGAGGAAGTGAAGCATGATTTCTTGTTCCTCGATCGAATCGTGGAATATCATCTTCATGTGGAATGCTAGTTCCACGGGATTTGAGAAGACCATAGTTGTCGAACATTGACATCGGGAGAAAAACCGAATTCAAGTTAGTTGATTGATTGAGTCCTTGGTAAATCACCCAAATGAAATTCCAAGGCTAGGACCCAACACAATATCCTACAACTCGGGAAAGGATGCCGTAACCCAAATTGCAGAACGTTTGAAGGTAAGTGAATGACGATTCACTAGTTTCCACCATGAAAAACGAAAAAGAAATTTAAGTTTTAAATCTATGAAAACTCCTAGATCCTTTGAGATTCATTGAACATTTCAATGGCATGTTTAAATCTCGATATGCCCCTCTTGTTTGTGACTGGGATGCCGAGGATCACAAAGCGGGTGTGAATAACCATGCAAACTACATGGTGCCCTCACATGTTACAATCACTTATTCGATGTGCCGGTAAACCACACACGCTCCACCGAACTATGACAAACATTGAGTCACCCTTTGCTACCTTTGCTTAGAACCATTTAGTGTGCCGGTAAACCACACACGCTCCACTAACGTCTTCGCAAGGGCACAAAGTGTAATTTCATGGAATTGCATCAATTCACTTTTGCCTAAGTAACTAAGATTGGGAATTTGAAAAACATTTAGTTACTTTGTATTTCATTATACTTATAATGGAAAGTTTCGTCCTATCCTACCCGTTCGGCTAACGACCCTCCACTAGTCAAGAGTGCGGTGGGTATGACTGGATACCCATTCAATCGTCATTTTATAGGCAATTTCCTTAAACACCCCTTATAGACCAGCTTCGCGAATGAGGCCTACTAACGGTAAGACTGACTTTTACTCATACTTATATATAATGTTAGACTTTTAATGTTTATATAGTATAGGGTGATTTTATACTTTTAAAATACTATATGGTTAACTTTAACAATTACACTTTTAATTCAATTAAAAGGTTAACCTAAACCTTTATGGATTCATTAAATCTTTTTAATTATACACCTTAATTAATTAATAAAAACCATAAGGGTGTGATTTGAACTTTTTTCAAAACTACTAGAGTTTTAGAATTTAACATTCCTAATTAAACTTTTAATCAACTTTTAAATTCCA